GGGGGCGAGGGGCTGCCTCGTGGAGAACCAGGGCTCCTTCTCGGGCATCCCAGGGTGCAGGCCATGGAATCGAGGGCCAGGAAGCCAAAGCCCGGCCAGACTCCAGGAAGGACTTCCGGGCTGTTAGCGCAGTACGACAGGGAAGCCATGGTCCAGGAGGTGGTGGGCTCTCGCATTTATTTTTATTTTTTGAGAGGCACCTGGCACTTGAACCGGGAGTCCTGCGCTGAGCAGAGGATTGGTCCCGATAACCTTGCTGGCCCCTTCCGGCTCTGCCATTCGGTGTTGCGATAATTGGCCAGGCCAGGCCTAATCCATGCAGGTGGGAGCTTTCCTGCTGCCCGGAATAGCAGCTGCAGGCAGGTGTTCCTGGGGTAGCAGGAGGACGAGGGCCGCGAGGACCCACGGTGTGCCCAGCTGTCACGGGCTTAAGGAAACAGCCCCATTCAGTGTTGCTTGTACTGTCCTGCAAGCACGTCCTGGGGCTCAGCCTTTGCCTTGTGAGCTCCCGCTGGCCATATCTTCCCTCCCGCAATGTGCAGCACTTCCGTAGAAGGCTGTGAAGAGCGATTGGGAGCGCGGGGGTGAGGTGCCAGTGCCATCGCCATCGGTCTGCTGGTGCCACCCAGTTCTGGCCCTCCTGTTCCATTGCACGTCCGGTTGGGAGCTGCCAGCCTTGTCGCAACTGATGCATTTTAGAGATGAAAATGAACAGCAAGGTGGTCAGCGGGGGGCGTGGAAGCCCTGAGCCGGCCCCCGGGCCCCGTGTGGGGCTCGAGAGGGCCAAAGAGCGGGGCCTCTCATCTGGGCAAGATGCCACCTCTGTGGGGGCAGCTCCTTGGCCGGAGCAGTGGGGCTGGGCCTGTCCCGGAGCAGTGCCCCTTCCTCCATGAGCCGGGGGGGGGGCGCTTGGGTCCTCGGCCCAGGTGCCTTGTGGCCAGCCTTCTGCTGCCTCTGTCCAGAAGCAGAAACCTTGGGGTGGGGGAGCAGATGCGGAGGCCAAAGCAGGTGGTGGGTCGGGTCACCCAGTGCCCACGCCTTCCCCCGCACTCGCGCCCCTGGCTTGTTGGGCGGCGCTCCGCTCCCGGCTGTCAGGACCAGCGCCTCGGCCGAGGCGGCACCCGTGGCCGCTGCTGGGCAGAGAGCCCCCCGGGGCTGGTCCGCTCCACTCCACTCCACTCCCCCCGGGGCTGGCGAGTGGTGTGCCCGTGACGGCTGTTCAGAGTGCAGGCTGGCTTCTCTTTGTGAGTTTCCTCCTGTTCCCGTAAAATGCACTGGATGCTCTGCTGCAGGGCGGCATGGGTTTTATTTTTAATAAAAGGAAAGACCTCTCTCTCTCAAAAAAGTCACCTTTCTGTAGTGCCGCTCGCCTGTCCTCCCCGTCCCCATCTCTGGCTCTGCCACCCAGTTTCACACGTCACGTGGGGGGGACACAGACACCCCCCCGGGGGAGGAAGGAGGAGGCCGAGCCCGCAGGCAGCTCCGTGCCGAGCCCGCTTCCAGGCCAGGCCGTCCGGGGCTATCTCCTGGGCCGGGCGCAGGCCCCTGTGAGCAGCCCGCCGCGCCGCACCGCACCCTCCTCCCCAGTGGCTGCCAGCACATGAGAGTGGCCGGCAGGTGCTGCGCAGCAAGCGCCGCTCTGATTGTCGGGAGTCACGCCCCCCCCCACATGCCACCCGGGATCTCTTTGATCTTTGTGGCGCTCCAGAGGGCAGAGGCTTGTGCTGGTGCTCCGAGGTGGCTGCCTAATTCCTGCTCGCTGCCGGCTGTTCCTCCGAGGGACCGAACGGGAAACGTGCCGCTAGAATCTTGTTAAATCGCCTCCCGTTCCCACGGGGATTTTAATTCTGGAGCCAGGTGCTCATCGCCGGGGTCTTGCGCAGAAGCAGCTAATTTTGGGCGCCTGGGAAGGTGGTGTTGATTTTCGCGGGAATGCAAAACGGCCTTGGAGGGAAGCACCCACGGCACCTTGAGCGGCTCGGAGGGGCTGACTGGCTCTGCCAGGGGCGCGCAAGTCCAAGGGTTAGCTCGGTGCCAGGCGGGCTCCGGACGAAGGTGGCGAGAACGAAAGGACGCTCAAGGGCTGCCGCTCCGCAGTGACCAGCCTCAGTGGCGTTCTTAAGGTCAGCGGGTGCCGCCTGCCGAACCGAGCAGGGCCCATCTGTTGGCGCAGCGGCCGACCGGTTGCCTGAGAGAAACCGTAGGTGGGACTGGTGTGCCTCAGCACCCTCCCACCCCTGTTCCCCAGCCACTGGGGCACGTGGGCATGTGGTGCTGGAGGCAGCATAGGATCGGGGCCTGTGGCCGTGGGGGGCCTGGGCTCCCCGCCGCCCCCGTGAACTCGTCAGGGCCTCTTAAAGCCGCCCAGATCCGTGGGGAGCATTCCAGGCGCAAGCGTGTGCCGTGTGAAAAGGGCCCCCCTGTGCCAGGGCCCTCCTTGGGTCAAGCAGTGGGGGGGGGGGGGGGGGGGGGGGGGGGGGAGAACGGGAGGGGGAACTCCCTCCCTGCACCAGGCATAACTTGAAGCACCTCTCGTGTCTCTCCTCACTCGCCTTCGCTCCAAGCGCAACCATTTCGCCCGTCATCAGCGTTCCTCACGGGAGTCGCTCCAACCCTGCACCATTTTTGGTGGCCACCTCCGCACTTTCTCCATTCCTACCATGCCCATTTTCACATGCAGTGGCCAGAACTGGATGTAGTGTCTGTAGTGTGGTCACACCAACGATATGTCTCAGGGGAATGCGTGTCAGCAGTTCCCAGCCCCCTCCAGAATGATTCCTGGCGTGCGCTTGCCCTCTTCACAGCAGCTGAGCACTGGGCGGACAGGGTCCTCCTGTCACTGCCCCAGGAGCCCTCTCTCGGGCAGCTCCCACCAGCCCCTGCGTGAAGCAGGTTTCTTGCCCCAGCAGAACCGTTCCTTGCGCTGCTGATGCCTGCTCCCCCAGCCTGGGGAGAGCCCCCGGGCCCCATCTTGCCAGCACCCCAAGGCGTGCTCCGCAGGTAGACGGGGCTCCGCTCGCCCAGACCCCCATGTCCCCTGAAGCCGGCCACTGCCTTCTGCTGCAGCAACAAGCCGGGGGCCGTCCCTCCAAAGGCGTTCTGGCGTGTTTAGAGGATTGCGCTTCCCGCGGCTTGCAAGGAGTTAAATGCGGGAGGAGGGAACTTCAGGTGCTTTCTTTCGCATGCTGTTTTACAGGGCAATTAAATGGCAGTGAAGAGTTTATAAGGGCTGGCTTCAAACGCTTCACTGTGGGGTAGGAAAAGATCTTAGGAATGCTTTATTTTTCCAGTGTGTCCAGGATGACAAGCTCTCGCCCTGTGCCCACCTGCCTCTCTTAAAACACGCCCCCCGGGGATCACCAGGATCTAGCGCCACATGTCTTCCTTCCAATAACATGGTGGCGCGGCCTTTGCAGGCTGCCGGTGAGCTTGCCAAGATGCAGCCTGGGCTCAGCACGGGGATGTGCGAAACCTGCTTTTGCTCGGCTGGTTGCGGTCAGCTGTGCGGTGCTATGAAAAGCGTGAAATAGGAGTTCTGCTTTGGGAAGGGGGAAATAAGGGGCAGGCGGAGGGGCCCCGCTTCGCCTGCAGCGCCCCTCCCCTGCGCTTCTCGGCCCGGCTGGGGGGCCCCAGGTGCACGGGGCCCGGTCCGGCACCTCCGTCTTGGCCCTACCGCTCACGCCCCAGCCTGACAAAGCGCACCTGCTCCGGGTGCCTCAGACCAGCCTGTTCCCCCCCACCCTGCGTTTTGCCCACCAGCCCCATAACCCGTGCGAACAGCGGCACCACAGTCCTTGTAGGAACGGGAAGAGGAGGCAGCTGTGCCTTGCGGGAGGCTTCTGAGCAAGGCGCCGGCACCTTGGCATGCGCATTTTGCCACCTTCTCCTGTCATTCGAATCCCTTTGTGGGATCACTGGGTGGAAGAGGCCGGCCGGTCGGTGGTGCCCAGGCACGTTGGACCAGCCCGCGGAGTGCGTTCCCGCAGTCCCGAGCAAGCACGCGCGCCCCGGAGGGCACCCCAAAAGAGCTGTCCCTCCTGGTTCTCCGCTCGTCTTCTACCGATCTTCCCCTTTTGGTGACATGCCCCATTCTGCGGTCGAGGCAACTCCGCCAGGCTTCCGTAGTGGATACATTGCACTCGATCGCCTGGTGGTCAGTTCAGTGAGGCCGGCGTCATGGGCGAGGGCTGGGAGCCCTTTTCCGTGGCCAGCTGTGCCCGGGCAGAGTTGCTCAGAGAAACGAGAAATGCCACCTCTGTGTTGTGACCAGAGTAGGCACAGCCCATGTAATGATAATTGTCACCACCCGTTATAACAGGCTAAACATGAGCCAACAACGCGATGCAGCTGCCAAAGGGGCAAATGCTATTTTGGGATGCATTAACAGAAATATTACTTCCAATTCACAAGAAGTAATTGTTCCCCTGTACTGCTCACTCGCCAGACCTCACCTAGAATACTGTGTCCAGTTCTGGGCACCAAGATCCAAGAAGGATGCAGGAAAATTAGAAAGGGTCCAGAGGAGGGCAAGAAAAAAGATGCAGGGTTTGGAGACACTGCCCAAGAGAGAGAGAACTAATGGCATGTTCAGACTGATGGGGCCCAAGATCTCCCTCCATAAGGACCTCAGGGGCTATCACAGAGGAAGGCCGAGATCTCCCCTTGCTGACGCCAGAGCGCAGGACACGGAATGATCCAGTCCAGCTGCAGCAACCCAGGTCCAGGCTGGACGTCAGGAAGAGCTTCCTCCCTGTCAGAGCAATGGGGCAGTGGGACCGGCTGCCCGGAGGGGGGGGGCTCTCCCACACTGGGGGCATTCAGGGAGAGGCTGGGCAGGCACCCGAGTGGGGTGGTACAAACTGGTTTGAGCCTCCTGGCCCCTTCCGACTCTGCTCTTCTGATCCAAGGCTGCATGCAAATGTGTGTTACCATCATCGCCGAGGCCACGGGTTGCTGGGGTCTCGCTGCCCGGCTCAGAGCGGCCGTCATTTTCCTTCCAGTGAGAATGAGGCGCTGTGGCGGGAGGTGGCCAGTCTGCGGCAGAAGCACGCACAGCAGCAGAAGGTCGTCAACAAGGTGCGCCCGGGCCTGCCTTTCCTCCGCCGGCCGTCTTCCACGAGGAGCGGGAGGGGAACCCAGGTGCTGGCGCTTGCAGCCCGCCTGGAGAAGGGCGTGGCGAGGAGACGGGGCTTGATGCGCTGGGCCTCACGTACCCCGAGACCGTGGGGCGGAGGCTGCCAGCCCTACAGGAAGCAACCTGCGGGTGGTGCAGCCAGCTCCCTGTGGCGAGCCAGGGCCCAGCGTGAAGCCGTGAGAACGTGCGAGAGCCGCAGGTCAGGGCGGGGGGGCTCTGTTCTGAAGGTGCCCGTGGGATTCAGTGCCTGGGCGGCAGCTCCCGCCGGAGCCCCTCTGCACCTCCCCCTTAGGGGCCTCCTCTGTCTTCCCTGCAGCTCATCCAGTTCCTGATTTCATTGGTACAGTCCAACCGCATCCTCGGGGTGAAGAGGAAGATGTAAGTGGCACGTGGGGCATGGGAAAACCTCTGGCTTCACAGTGACCGAAGGAGGAACCTCCCCCGGCCGGTCCTGGGGAGGCTGCAGCCGGGTGCCCCATGCTCCTGCATTCCCTTCCAGCCCCCTGATGTTGAACGACAGCAGCTCGGCGCACCCCATGCCCAAGTTCAGCCGGCAGTACTCCCTGGAACATGTGCACGGCGCGCCCCCATTCTCCGTGAGTGTGACACTCTGCCGGGGGGCGATGCAGCTGGAGCGGGCGAGGCACCGCACCGCGTCCCCGGGCACGGCCTCCTCCCGGTCTTCCCCTGCAGCCCCACCGTGGGTGCAGCCGGCGCTCAGAGGGCTGCCCCCTCCCGCCCACCTTCTGCCGCGGACGTGTCACCCGTCAGCTGCCACCCAGCGTCCAGCTACCCGTTCGCGCCGCGCATCCGCTGTCCCGCCCAGCACGCGTCTCGCCTCGCGTGGGTGCCCAGCCCAGAGACCCACCGGCGCTCGCCCCCTCCCTCTCCTGCCCTCGCCCGCCCGCCACCCCTCCTGGGTCCTCTGCTGGCGGGGCAACTCGTGCCTGGGCCGAGCCTCCTTCCAAGCCGAGTCTTCGCCGCAGGGGTGGGCGGGCTGCTGCACCGGAAGCAGGGGCGAGAGAGGCCATGCGTGCCGCAACGCTTGGCCCTCCCAGGGCGGCCACGCACCTGCCAGCCAGGCGCCTCTTGACGCTTCGGGTGGGAAGGGAAGGCCCCTTGCCAGAAGGGGTGCTTTTCCCCGAGGCCGAATGGCCGCCCGGGGCAGAGAAGCCCTGGCGTGCCGGCACGGGTGGTCGGGAGCAGGCTGCCCGGGTGTCTGAGGCGCGCCAGGTGGGCCTGGGCACCGCATCTGGTGTGCCGTGCGTGGCCCCCCGGACAGGGGCTGACCAGGGGTGTGCGCCCGGCGAGGCCACCCCCAATGCCTCTGTCTCATGGCAGGCCGCCTCCCCAGCGTACAGCGGCTCGACTCTCTACTCGCCCGACTCCTCCACCAACTGCGGCCCCATCATCTCCGACGTGACCGAACTGGCCCAGTCCAGCCCGTCGGCGTCCCCCAGGAGCAGCCTCGACGGCAGGTGGGTGCCCGCCTCCGGGTCCGCAGAGGGCTCGCTTGCCCGTGCAGGAAGCGGGGCGCCTGCTTCGGGGCCGGCCTGGAGCTGGCTGCACATGTCCCGGGTCTCTGTGCAGCTGGCGGGAGCCGGGAGGCCCCCGCGAGAGACCAGGGAGCACGGCATCTGCTCCCACTCCCACGGCAGCGACTCCAGGGGATGGGGAGCGGAGCGTGAGTTGCAGCCTGGAGCGTGGCGTCCCTCCCTTTGAGCCTCTGATGCACATGGTGCGGAAGGGAGCGTGGCGCTTGCGCTCTGGTGCTGCTTGTCTGGGTGAGATGGGAGAGTCGCCCGAGCGCTTGCAAGGCGCAGCCGAGGGAGGAGCTGCAGAAACCCACGCGTCCTGTGGACCTGCCCTGGCGGCCCCGCGAGGCCCCGAGGCAGCGGGCCTTCCCTGCAGCCTTGGCCCAGGGGCCGAGCAACTCCCCTGTGCAGCTCGGGGCCGCGGGGGGACCTCTGTCTGCCAGAGGAGCCGGGTTCCCCCTCTGCTCTAGAACCCCGCGGCTGAGGACCCTGGCCGAGGACGCGAGGCCCAGAAGGGCTCGTTGAGCAGCCCCCAGAAGGCTCGCGTGTGGGGTGGGCAGGTCTGGGAGGGAGGCAGAGGGCAGGACGAGCCCCTCTCCGACTGGGGGGCAGTGAGACCTGCCCCATCGTGGCCGAATGCTCTGCTTTCACAGAGACACCTGCTCACCCTCATTTTCCGCCTCCCTCAGGAGCAGCCCGGCGGTCCAGATCAAGGAGGAGCCCCCCAGCCCCGCCCGCAGTCCGCAGCCCGAAGAAGTCAGCCCCGTCGGCGCTCCCCCCGCCGAGACCCCCCTCTCGCCCTCTGCCTTCATCGACTCCATCTTGCAGGAGGAGGAGCCCGGCGGCCCCCTGGGCACAGCCGCCCCCGCCACGCAGCCCCCGGCCCCGGAGAAGTGCCTCAGCGTCGCCTGCCTCGACAAGTGAGTGGGGCGTGGGGGCAGAGGCCCCTGGAGGGCGAGCCAGTGGGGGGCCGTGCCCGCGGCCAGCGATTGGATGGTCTGGTTGTCTGGCCGCGCCGTCGCTTTCCTTTGCCCGTTCACCGGAAACCTGCCGGGCCGCCTTGAGGGGCAGGGCGGCCGCACCCTGCCGTGCGTGTGCGTGATCCGTGCGGGAGGTGGGTCCTGGGTCTCCTGCTCCCAGCCTGAGCCGGGCAGCCCCTCCAGGGCGCCGCCTGGAGCCAGCCGGGTCCCTGGGACCGTGGGCACGTGGGGTGCGTTCAGGCAGGGGCCCGCCTCTGAGCTGGTCGCCGGGCGCAGCATCAGCTCGGAACAGGCCCCGGCGGCACACGGCTGCGGAGCCGCCAGAAGCACCCACGGAGGCCCCGCCGTCTGGTCACTGGGTGGAAGGAACAAGGAGAGCGAGGGGGAGCGGGTCTGAGGCGGGGTGGAGGTGCTCCTAGGCGGCCCAGCACGGGTCCCCCGGCGGGTGGTGGTGCTTTGAGACCAGCTGGCCCCGGCTGCGTATGTGGAAGGCACGCAGGCCCGCCTCTCCATCTCCTCCCTGCTCCTCCCTGTGCAGCGCAGGGCCGACCGCCCTCCTGTCTCCCGCCCAGCTGCTCGGCGTGCGTTGTTTGCTTCGCTTGAGGCTTCCCTGGGCAGAGCCGGCCCCGGCCCTCCGGGCAGTCCCTGGGTCTGGCAGTGGTCCTCCCAGGCTCAGGCGGAGGGGCCGCCCGCATCACCTGCCCCCAGCCCCCTGAAGCACAGAAGCTGGCCATGCCGAGGATCGAGCGGGGGCCTTGGGTCGCTGTTTTGGCCCTGGTGGAGTTGCTGACGGGGGCCACCCTGGGGCCCCATGGCCCCAGGATCGGGGAAGCAGCCCAGGGAGCTCTGCGTTAGACGAGGGACCTGGCCGTGGGAGCTGCCAGGGGGCAGCACCCCGTCCTTCTGCCACTGCCAGGCACAGGCACTGCCGGGGGGATGGGAAGCCAGCTTCCTCTCTTCCCCCAGGGCCGACCCGCCAGGGCCTGCCCCGCTGCTCGGTCCCTGCTGCCTTGCTGGCTCCACAGAGGCTGGGGCCTCCGTCTGCTGGCGGGAGGCCTGCCCCGCTGGGGCAGCGTGGCCTGCCACCTTCGAGGACGTGGGCCCGCTTGTGAGGCAGAGGGCAGGCCACGGGGCACCTGCGTTTCTGTCCCTCCCTCCCTTCCTTCCTTCCTCCATCTGTCCACCCATTGCCCAGCCCCACCTCCTGCTGCCTGCGGGCTCCCCCCCCCCCCCGGCAGGGGCCAGCCCACCAAGGAGAGCAGGGGAGAATGCCCGCCCATTCCCGCTCTGGGCGCCCTCCCTCCAAGCACTCTCCTCCCAAGCTGCCGGGGGGCCGTGCCATGCTAGCATGTGCCACGGGCCGGCCAGCTCCTGCCTGGAGCCCCGGAAAGGACGCCCGCCTGCTCCGCCTCTCAAGCGCAGCCACCGCTTCCTGCCACGGCGCTTGGCTTCGGGCCCCTGAAGCTGCTGTCCTCTTTCTTTCTATCTTTCAGTGTGGCTCGCGCTCCACAGATGCCTGAGGTCACCTGCCTCTTCCCCAGCCCTTCCTCCTCCTCCTCCTCACTGCACTGCCGACCACAGCAAGGGTTAGCATTCCATAGTTTCCCACTGAGGCCGGGGGGCCTTCCCGTCAGCGCCGCCGGCCCCCTCCCGCCCCTCCGCAGCCGGGATGGGGAGGTCGCGCCCGTGCAGGGCGCTGTTCACGCTGCAGTGGATCCGCGGCTCGGAGGCGCCTGGCCTTCACTCCCCATGCTCCTCGAGGCACAGAAGAGGCACCCCAGAGGGACAGCGTGGGGGGCGGAGCCGGGCCTCTCCCTGCCAGGCACAGCCACCCCGTGCGGAGCGCTGGGCCTCTGCCTCAGCAGGGAGGGTGCCGGCACGCGGGGTGGGGAAAGCCTCTCTGCGTGGGAGGCCCCCCCAGCTCAAGCCCTCCCTGTGGCTACCCTGGGCGAGGGGGCCGGCGGCTGGGGCGTGAAGGCCCACCCGGGCGGCAAGCTGTGCGCCTGTGCCTGGCTCAGTGAGATCCCCGCGAGGCTGCCCCCAGGGGCCACACAGGGAGCCCTGGGCCGAGCATTGCCAGGAGCTCTGGGCTCTGCCACAGGCCGCGCCTCCTCCTGATGGGGCACTTGCCCCGAGCCCCCTTTCCGGGCGGTTCCTGCCCCGAGATGGGTCAGCCCTCTCTGCCGCACAGGCCCGCCGGACCCGCCCGCAGCACCGGCCAGCCATGCTCCTGGGCCATGGCCCTTGGAGAAGCCCGTGGCTGCCTCGGCCGGGCGTGCTGCTGGGGCGGGGGCTGCCACGCAGAGCTCCTCAGAGGGCTCCCGAGAAAGCTGGGGGGCGCTGAGGCCCCCGGCACGGGGCATCCCCCCACTGCCACCCAAGAGGAAATGCTCCCGCGCAGGCTTCTGCCCCGTGGAAGGCCCCTGGGCTGCCAGGTGGGCTGCCAGGCTCAGCGAGGGCTGGGAGCAGGGCGAGGCGAGGCGGGGGCCCGGCGGGGGCAGGGGCCTTTCAGAGGGCACCGCTGACGGGGGCCCCGGCCTTCCTTGTGTTCCCAGAAACGAGCTGAACGAGCACTTGGACACGATCGATTCCAGCCTGGACAACCTCCAGGCCATGCTGACCACCCACGGCTTCAGTGTGGACACAAGCGCCTTGCTGGACGTAAGTTGCCTGCCTGGGGGTCCTCGCCAGGAGGGCGCCGGCCCCGGGGTGGCTCCCCCCGCTCCTCACACTGCCCCCCCCCCCCCCCCCCGCCTCTCCACAGCTCTTCAGTCCTTCCATGACCGTGGCGGATATGAGCTTGCCAGACCTGGACAGCAGCCTGGCCAGTGTGAGTTTACCTTCGCAGCTCTCCCCGGGGGGAGGAGGCGCGCCCCACACCGGACGGAAATGCATGCCTCCCCCATGGCTCCGAGGCCTCAGAGAGCCCCTCAGCCGAAGCCCCTCCCGGGCTCCTGGAGGGCTGTGGCTGCATCACGCGCCCCGAGAGGCCCCGGGGGAAGGGGCTTTCTCAGATCAGCCGCTGCCGAGTGTGGAGCCTGGGGGCCAGGGGGCGCCCCGCTTTCTGCCATGAGTCACCGTCATCTGCTCAGAGCAGCAGCAGCCCTGTCCATGTCTGCGGGGGGGCTTCCCCCACCTTCGCCCCCTGCCCTATTGCCGGCAGCCGGGCAGGGCCAGGCGGGGCCGTTGGGCGTGCCACTTGGGGCAAGAGCTGGCCCGTGGGGCAGTGGGCGCCAGCGTGGGGGGGGCCGTGTCCCTTGGGGTGTGGCTGGATGCCGCTGGACGCCGCCTGTGCGAGGGGGCCAGGGAAGCCCTCGGGCCCTGCAGTCAAGGCGCCGATGACGCGGAAGACGCCTGCGGCCCCGTCTTCCTCCCCGAGCTGCCTCTCGCCGGAGCACACGAGCCGCCTCGGTTCAGCAGCGCTGCCGCTCGCTCGCTCCCCCTCTGCAGATCCAAGACCTCCTCTCCTGCCAGGAGCAGCAGAAGCCGGCGGAGGCGGAGGACTCGTCCGCAGACGCAGGTGCGTGGGGTCCTCGTCCCTGCCGGGCGTGCACCTGCCCGCTGCCCCTTCCCGGTAGAATCCGAGAAGGGTAGAGCTGGAAGGGGCCGGAAGGCCACCGGGCCCAGCCTCCTGCTCTCGCACGCCCTCCTGCTCCCGGCTCGCGTGCCCCGGGGGCCGGTGGTCTCGCGGGGCTGTCCCGTACTCGGGGGCCTGGCTCCCTCGGGCCCCTGCGCCTTGGCTCCCGGCCGGGGGAGAGCCTTCCCCGTGCCCCCCCGGCTGCTGCTGTGCCGGGGCTTCTCGCGCCCCCCTCCCCCCGTGCTGATGGCGCCCCCCTCTCCACGCCCTCTCCTAGGCAAGCAGCTGGTGCACTACACGGCTCAGCCACTCTTCCTGGTGGACTCGGGCACCGTGGACGTGGGCGGCGTGGACATGCCCGTTTTCTTCGAGCTGGGGGAAGGGCCCGGCTTCGCGGAGGAGGAGGAGTACCTGGAGGACCCCGCCGTCTCCCTCCTCTCTGGGACAGAGCACCCCAAGCCCAAGGACCCGGCAGTCTCCTAAGGCTGAGCCTGGGCCAGGGTGGAAGAGAGGCCGGCGGGACGGGCCTGCCCGGGGCCTCCCTGTTTCGCTCCCGTGTGGCAGCGGCCCCCTGCTCACTCTGGCCGCGGGGGGGGGGGGGCACGCCAGTGCGTGCGCAACCAGGCGCTTGGCCCCTCCCGCAGGCTGGCGCTCTGAGCAGGCACAGGGGCTTTGAGAAACAGACGGGGTGCCGGGCACGGTGGGAGAGCGCATTCTTGGCGGCCCGCTGGGGCAGCCGGCATCCGGCATGCGGCACTGACTCCCCCCGGATCGCTGCAGGGGTCCGGCTGGGCGGGGAGGATTTCCCCTCCGTCGGGACGGACTGCAGACTTGCCGGGAGAAGGAAACGTGTCTGCCCCACGCCTTGGGGGCCAAGGGCCGCGTCCCCTCGTGGCGTCTGCAGCCAGGCCTGCTCTGCTCCCGGTGTTGCCGGCACCCAAGTAAGATGTGCCCCCCGCTCCCCCCATGGGGTTTGTTTTCCTTGGCTTAGCAGTAAAGGGTTTGTACATTTACACTTTGATTGTTACTAGAAGAAAATGTATTTTGGATTTTTACATGAGAGAAGAGCCCCTCCCCTCCCCTCCCCCCCCCACCCTGCTATATAAATATCTCTATATATATATACTCAAATATATGGAGCCATATGAAATGGTTCTTCACTGTACAGGCTGAGTGGCACCGGGGGCTCCGTTTCTGTGTCCTGTTCCTGCGGTGGCGAGAGGGTCCCAGGCCCCAGGGGTGCTCCCCAGACCTGCTGGGGGGGCGAGGGGGCCTTGCGTGGTCTGCCCGCTGCTCCCCGGGGTCTTGTTCGCCTGCAGAGCGGCACCCGGACCTGAGCGGGCCGCCTGGCACCACGGGCTCTCCTCCGGGGGTCCCCTGCGCTGGCACGAGGGAGGCGGCTCTGGCATTCTTGGCCCAGGTCCCTGGGGGTGGGGGCGGCCGATTGCCCCGTGGCTCCCGGCCTTGTCCCGGCAGCTCGGCCCGGGGCACGGCCTCCGCTTGCGGCTGCCACGCCTCCCCGGGGGCCTGTTGGGGAGCGCGGCACACTGCTGTCTGAGGCACGAGCCCCATCCGCCCCCCCCGAACCTCATGCGCAGGCCCACCCTTCAGGGCTGCTGCTCACGTGCAGGACGCGGGGAGGAGTGGGCGCAGTCTTGCAGGAGCGCAGCCCTCCAGAGAGCAGGCCCAGAGGCGCCCGTGGGGCCTCTGGGAAAGGCGCCGAGCCGACCGTGCTGGGGGCTGCTATGCCCACCCCAGCGGCTCCCAGGTTGGTTTTGGAGCCGAACTCCGGGCCCTCGGGGCCTCCCCTGCATGCACAGCAGACGCTGCTCTGCCTCAGACGAAGGCCGGGGGATCCTGGGGCCCGCCCCCCCTTGGTGTATGAAGCAGCCCCGCGCAGACTTGCGCCGCCGCCTGCCACCCTCGAGCTGCCTGGACGGCGGGCAAACAGCCTCGTCGACTCCCGCCCTCGTCGTGCAGGTGGCCCCTGGGGCCCCATCGTGCATCTCGGCGGGCCTCTCGGGTGCAGCCGTCACTCTTGGGGAGCTCGGCAGGCCGCTCTCCGTGGAGCCGCCCTCTTCCAGCCAGCCAGCCAGCCAGCCAGCAGCATGCAGGAGCCCCGTGGGGCAGCTGAGACTGCTGCGGGAGCCGAGCCGAGCACGGAGCTGGCCGCTCATGGGCAGAGGGGAGGGGGAGAAGCCGTGGAAAGCAGGGGAACCCCACCCCCGGCGGGCGGCAGCGGCGGACGGGGGGCGGACGCGTGGCCCCACAGCAGAGGGCGTGGAGGGGCCTCCGTGTGCACAGCCCTCCTGCCGCCAGGGGAGAAAGCCCGGCCCGGCTGGGTGGGCTGAGGACCGAGCAACCCCCGAGGCCATTCACGCTTCCTCAGCCAAGCCAGGTCTGGGCTGCCTGCAAGCTTCCCCCAGGACATAGAACATGGAAACAGAGTGAGTCAGAAGGGGCTCCCCGGCCATCTAGTCTGACCCCCGGCTCCAGCCGGCTCCGCTCACGACATGCCCTCCATGTGCATGTCCAGCCTCTCCTTGGACACCCGCACCGATGGGGCCTCAGCCACCTCCCGGGGAAGCCCATTCCACACCCTGGGGGTCCTGACTGTCCGGAAGTGCTTCCTGGCATCCAAGTCGGACCTTGGTTCCCTCCAGCGGAACACATCCTGCCCTCCTCCGCAGGGGAGAGCAGGTCCGTTCACCGCCGTGTGACACCTCTTCTCCAGGCTGGAAAGACCCAGCTCCCCCAGCCTCGCCCCGTACGGCTTCCCTGCAGTCCAGCCGCCGGCCGTGTGGCCCTGCACTGCTTCGCTTCCAGCCTGGCCCCGTCCTTCCTGGAGTGGAGCCAGAACGGAGCACAGCGCTCCAGAGGCGTGCGGAGTGGCAGTAGCGCCTCCCTCGATCTGGCTCTGCAGCCCAGCTGTCCCGCTGCCCACCCTGCCGGGGTTGCCCTGCCGCTCCAGGGAGACCAGGCCTCCCAAGGGGTCACGACGTGGCCGTTGCCCCCCAAGCCCCTCGGGCCCCGATGCAGAGCCGCCCCAGTTGCCGAGACACCAGTCAGACGTGCTGTTTGCTTGTCTTTATTGCGGCGCGAATAGCGACAGGAAAGGCAGGCCCACCCAGCCCAGCACCCCCAGCTCTAGGAGGGGCCCCGGCTGTTCACCTCCACAGCACCCCCGTCCCCCCCCCCCCCCACACACAGCAGCTTCTGGCCACAAGCACCCCAGTCCAGGTGGTGAAGGGATCCCCGCCCGCCCCGCCCCCCTCGCCCTCTGGCCAGGACTCTGCCGCGCGGGCCCAGCGCTCGCTCGGGGTCTGGTCGGGAGGGCAGGGGAAGGGGGCCTCTCCTGCCTGCCGCCCGGTTCAGAGGTCTTGGCCTTGAGAGGGAGACGAGGAAGGGCCCAGCGCCCTCCGGATGTGGCTCTCGCAGGGCGTTGGTGCCTGCAGGGGGCCCGGCCAGCCCTGCGAGAAGATGCCGCTGCCCAGCAGCCTTCACCATGGCCAAGCTGGGAGGCCCAAGCTGGGACCCCCTGCCAAGTGGGTGCCCCGCCGAAAGTGCCTGGATCGGTGCCTTGGGGTCAGACCTGCAGGGAGGGCCCTGCCCCGGGTGGAGCTCTCCTGCCCACAGCTGGAGGATGAGAAGGCCCCTCCGCCTGCCCACCCTCCTGACCTGCCGGGGGAGGGGGAGCGGTGCTGCCTCTCCAGGTGGGCCAGCCATGCAGGGCTGGTGTGCCCTGGGGCAAAGGCGCCCCCCCCCCCCTTGAGCTGCTCTGCTTCAGCTCTTGCCCCCATCACAGTGCACCAGGCAGGTGAGCCACGGGGCAGGACTGCCCACCCCTCGGGCGTTGCGTGGCTGAAGGGGGCTTCCGCCAGATAATCCCCCAGCCCTGAACTGCGAGCAGAGCACCTTGGCGGATTACTGGTGGCACTGGGGAGGGGGGTTGGCCAAAACGACACCCAAGTGGGGGCAGCGGGACTCTCTTCCTGGGCTTTGCCCAGCTTGCTCTGCTGTGCACACCCTCACCCATCCCCACCCCACACGCCATGGGGAGGCCTCTGCCCAGAAGCCCAGCCGTGGGGCCGAGAATCGCCAGGAACAACCGTGGCGTTTGCACGCGGGGCAGGCCAGGTGCGCTGGAAGGGGGCCGCCAGAGGAAGGGCTGGGCTGGCACGCTTGTGCTTGCAGGGAGCCTTTCCCTCAGCCTGAGGACTCCCCGGGCTTGTGGGGGTGCCGCTTGGCTCCTGGCAGGCGTCAGCTGGAGTCTTCTGGGCTGCAGGGGGCTGCCTGGAGCACCCCCCATAGCCCAGCTGGTTGGTGGGGGCACCTTCCACCTTATGCTTCTCAGAAGGCCCGGCCCGCAAGCGCTTCCCTGGCACGGCGCTTCCTCCCAGGGGCGGTGGGTCATTTCTGTGTGCAGGAGAGTGGGGGCAGCGGTGAGGAGCCTGGCCCCAGCCTCCCGCCCCCCGTCTGCGCCCTGCGGCGTGCGGGGTGGCGGGCCGAGGCTGGAGCTCTGGGGCAGGAAGCTGGCTGCGGAGGCCGTGTGGAACGGGGCCGGAGCGTGGGGTGGGTGACCGGGCGCAGCAGCGGGCGAGGCGGAGTCGGGGTCTGCCGGGGCATCTCGGGACCTTCAGCGAGGGGTGAGTGAGGCAGCAGCCCTCCTCACATGCCTGTGGAGAAGACGCGGGAGCTCAGCATCTCGCCCTGGGCCTGTGCCAGCTGCCCTCCTGGCGTGCGCTCGCCTCCAGATTGCGCGCACAGGACGTGTGAAGGATGCAATCACAGGAGCGTGGCCGGGGCTTCCATGCTCAAGGGCCACCCCTGTGAAAGGGGGCCCCGCGGGAGGCGAGAGGGCAAAGGGCTTGCAGAAGGTGGCCACTCGCTGCGGCCGCAGGAGGTCCCGCAGGTCTTGGGGCTGCCCTGGGAGAAGGTGGGGAGCGGGCAGCGGGGCTGCCGGTGGCCCCTCGCTGCAAGGACGGCTGGGAAGAGGCCAGCAGGCCGGGCGCCCTGCGCGAGGGAGGCACTGCGGCCGGAGGGGCCCTCGCTCCGGGAACTGGCATGCTGTGGACCAGACCCGTTTCCCGACGGCCCCTGCGCTTCCCGGACGCTTACCTTGGGATGTGAGGGATTCCTCCGAATCCACTTCGTGGTCCACACCTGAGGGGAGAGCATTCCAGGTGGCAGTTTTCACTGGCGCCAGCTCCTGTGGCCCCTCCCAAGTCAGCCGGCCCCCCTCCCCCAGGGCAGTCCCTCCAGGTCCTTTCTCCTGGGCAGTGGTGCGGAGCTAGCGAGACCCTTGGTCGCCCTGTGGCCCCAAACCATGGGAAACTTACTCTCCTGGGACTCGTGGGAATGAACGGAGAGGTCCGGGCCAGGACCTGCAACAAGAAGCACACGTCTTTTCCGTGCCCAGGAAAGCGGGCCGAGCATGGGGCAGCATCGGAGGAGCCATGGTGGCCCCCTCTGGGGTCTGCTGGGAAGGCAGCCGAGCCAGAGGGCCACAAGGTACGTCCCACGGGGCAGGGCCGTGGGTGTCCCGGCACGGAGGCCTGCGAGCAGCTACAGGGCTCCGCTC